TGACTGGTCTCTTCTGTCTGAGGGTCAGCAACTGATGAATAAAAAAAGTTACTCATTTCTATAGCTGCGTATCAGTGTTTTTAAAAGTTGAATGTATTTTTATGTGTACTGACTTTACTGTATAAAATTCCTGAAGTAATTATTTTAGGACAGTTATGAAGGCAGACTATCACAGGTATCCATGTTTTATAAAATTTTAAGGCAAATATGTCACAGTGACAACCCATGTTTATATCTTTTGCAATTTTAGAGTCCCAAAGAAACATGAACAATAGATAATGCATAACACAGAACCTAACTATCCATTTCTTTATTACGGTCAGCTATTTAGAATGCCATGCTTTATTCAAGTCTTCTCTTATAAATACATCATGTAACTTCATTTATTATTTCACTGTCAAAAATATTCTTATTAATAGAGAAGCCAAAATCTGATTTTGACAATCTTGAGATAGAATTTTTTTAAAATTTTACTCATTTTTAAAACAATAAAACAGCATACATCAAAGCCATAATACCCAACTTAGCTCCTTAAAATAAGTAGGTAACAGATGAAAAATTATTCACTTCACATTACTTGAATGCATTCTTTATTTTTATATATTTATTTTTTCTTCAGAAATACTATTTTAAAATGTATTTATTTTAATCCATGCCCATTTCCCCATAAGAAACTGTGTTTCAATATGCAATGAATGTTTACTGGAAAAGCCACTCAGATAAAAGAAATACAATGGTAAAGTTAGTAGGATCTCACAAATGACTCCTTCCAAAGATTAGTGACAGGAGAGTCAATTGGTTAATTCAATTTAGATCATATGTAAACCCTAGGGACTGGATGTCTAGTTCTCAGCAATTAATTGAACCCAACTTTATCTGGTGAAGTAAGCTGCATAAGCAGGATTATTTATTGATTATATAGAATAAAGACAAAGGTAAGCAGCACGAAGACAGAATCATTACGAACCCTTCATTAAACTCTTAGTGCATAACTAAAAGCAGGTTATTCGATAATTACCTTTTTATAAACTATATTGGCCTTTGAGATTTGGCTAGAGGTACACACTAAATTTGCACAGGTTCTGCATGCTTGGAATTACTGTAACTATGTAATAATATTTTAAAATGTAATTTTAAATATTTTGATATTTAATTTATACTTTAATCATATTTTAACTTTAAATGTAGTTAATAAATATTCCATCACTGCACTGAAATAATACTCCTATATGTAAAATTAGAAAATATCTTTCTCCATCATTTTGGATCAAAGACATGAGGTGAGAAATATCATAATAAATATCCATGACAAATAAATAAGTTCACTTCAAGAGTTTATAGGTTATTGGCTTGGACTTTGCCACCAGACAGATACTGGTGCCACTATTTGCTAAATCTGTGTGAACCTCAGCAAGTTAAGCACATTGGGCTTCAGAATAGTCTTTCATAAAATTAGAATGATATCACTACATATGGAGTGAGGTTTTATGATTTAATTTACAGTAAACACTAATGTACAAAGAAAATCAATGCTTTATTAAAATAAAAGGTGTTTATCACAAAATTACATTTAATAATTATGTGCCAAGATTTTGTAAAGTCAATTATGCACACATGCATACAAATACATACATATGTACATATCGGAAGATAGATACATAGATAGGTAATAGATAAATGAAATAGATGATAGACAGACATAGGATAGGCAGGTATAGACAGGTAAATACATGGATAGATGGATTGGTAGATAGATACATGACAGATTGGTGGGTAGATGGATGGATAGATAGGTAGATATATAGATATATAGATGAATAGATGGATGGATGGATAGATGGATGAATGGATAGATGACAGATGGATGGATAGATGGATAGATGAATGGATGGAGAGATAGACGCGTGAATGGATGGATAGAGAGATAGATGGGTAGATGGATGGATGGATAGATGAGTAGAGGGATGAGTGGATGGGTAGATAGATGGGTAGATGGATGGATGGATGGACGGATGGATGGATGGATGGACGGACAGGTAGATAGATGGATAGATGGTTGAATGGATGGATGGATGGATAAATAGATATATAGATCAATGGATGGATGGATGGAATAATGGATAGCTAGATGAATAAGTGGATAGATGGATAAATGGATGAATGGATAGACAGATAAATGGATGAATGGTTGAGTAAATGGATTGATAGATGGATAGACTGATGGATGGATCAATGGATAGATAGATGAGTGGATGGATGGATGAATAGATAATGGATGGATGGATGAATAGATAGATCGATAGATGTATGAATAGATGGATGGATAGATAGATTGGGTAGAAGGTTGAATGGATGGATGGATGGATCAATAGATGGATGGCTGAATAAATGGACAGATGAATGGATGGATGGATAGACGGACAGACAGATGGATAGATACACACATACTAACATACATACATACATACGTGCATACACAGATAAAGATAGATAGAGATGGGTAGACTTCGTTTTGGTTCAGTGTGCTCTGTTCAATAAATGTTTATCAATATTCAGTTATTAAAGAGAACACTCTGTAAGTTAATGTTTCTTCTTCCAGATTATCATTTGTATATACTTTGTCAAAATATTGATGGAAGCATCATGTTTTTTCCACAATTAAACTCTGGCCTTGCAGAACTGTGCTGTCTTGTATTCTGGGTATTTCAGTCTTAGAGAGGAAATTTCCAAATGCCACTTCATTTGACATAAGGGAAAATAAATACATTTTAAAAATCAAGTGTCAGGAAGAAGGAGGGGGGCAGAGAGAGAGAAGGAGTTAAAAAGGCATCTGGGTGATGTGTTTTCGGGGTATTCTGACCTGATTTATAATTGTAAACTGAGAAACCTTTCAGCTATTCTGCCCAGAGGATTCTAAGTAAGTTGCAAGGCTATGTGATTGTATAGGATTCTGGCTTCCCTCACTCAATTATTTTCAGAGTCCACTGCATTACGTAGTTTGTTTGAAGAACTGTCAGTTTGGTAATTGGGAGACACACACATTTAATGATATGCTTTTATTCTCTCGGTTTTAAAGGGACACATATTAGGACATTGTTCTTTGTGTATCAAGGGGTGACTTGGGGGCATGTCATCCTCAAAGACATTTTAATTTTGAAAAACACGTTTATCTTGACAACATGCCCTCTACTCCTTTGCTTTATTTTTCTCCTTAGCACTTAAATCTGCACTATATATTATATATTTTATTTATTTGAAGTATGGCCATGGCCACCGCTGCAATATAAAGTTGATTGTGGCAGAAATATAGTCTGTTTCTTTTCTATTTCACCATCTCTCAGGGTGTTAAATATATGCCTTAGCTTGATTTATTCTGGAAAGTTTAGCCTTCTCTCTAATAACTGCTCAACTTCCATGCTACGTATGTCTCTTTGATAACCTCAAAATAAGGACATTGGTGCAGAGAAACTGCATGTCAGATGTTAGTGGATGGTTTTCTGTGTTTTTTTAATTATTATTATTTTTTATTTTTAGGGACAGGTCCTCACTCTATCACTCAGGCTGGACTGCACTGGTGCAATCACAGCTCATTGCAGCCTTGAAATCCTGGTGTCCAGTGATCCTCTCACCTCAGTGTCCCAAGTAGCTGGGACTACAGGTGCACACCACCAAACCCAGCTAAGTTTTCTATCTCTTTAGAAATTGGGTCTTGCTATGTTGTCCAGGCTAGTCTCAAACCAGCTTCCTGCCTCAGCCTCCCAAAGCACTACTGGAATTACAGGTGTGAGCCACCATGCCCAGACTTTAATAGATGTTAAGTCACAGTGCTCAGCCTTTAATAGATATTAATAGAAGAAAAGTTCTCCCAATGATACCTTCCCCTTGAGAGGAAATTTATATTTATTGGTGTTTTGCAAGTTTGCCACCAGTTGTATCTTATTTACAGTTGGCTCGAGATAAGATAAAAATATTCGTTTGTAGCATCTGGCTATTTTCCATACTCTTATTGCCCTATTTATTTTCACTATTATTATTTTAGTGTGATAAAATACACATAACATAAAATTTATCATTAGCGGCCTGTAGTACACTCACAATGTTGGACAACCATCATCTCCATCGATCTCCAGAATACTTTTATCACCTCAAAAGGAGATCCTGTGCCCAGTAGCAACTATTGTATATTCCATCTATCCCCACACCCCTGGGCAACCACTAATTTTTTTTCTGTTCCTATGGATTTGCCCAGTCTTGACATTTCGTGTCAGTGGAATTGTACAATCCTTTTGTGTGTGTAACTTTTGTGTGTAGCTTCATTCACTGATCATGTTTGTAAGATTCACCTCTGTTATAGTACAGGGGTCCCCAAGCCCCAAACCAGTCTGTGGCCTGTTAGGAACCGGGCTGCACAGCAGGAGGTGAGCAATGACATGATGGTGAGTTGTAGAATCATTTCATTCTGCAGTACAATGTAATAATAATAGAAATAAAGTGCACAATCAATGTAATGTGCTTGAATCAACACGCCCCACCCCAACTGCCATCCATGGAAAAATTGTCTTCCACAACACCTGTCACTGGTGCCACAAAGTTTGGGGACAGTGGATGTTGTATGGTCAGTGTTCCACTCCTTTCTGTGGGTACCGTGTTGTAGAAAACAATTTGGCGGTTCCTCCAAAACTTAAATATACAATTACTTTAGGACCCAGCAACTCTACTCTTAGGTATATATTTTAAATAATTGAAAACAAGGCTTCAGGTCCGCACAGTAGCTCATACTTGTAATCTCAGCACTTTGGGAGGTCGAGGTAGCGGACCATTTGAGGCGAGGAGTTTGAGACCAGCCTGGCCTGTGGGCGAAGATGACCTAGGTGCCGAGGCAAGAGACCGAAGCCACAGACTGTTTCAGCATATTAAAGAAAATAGAATAAGAACAGTCGGTGTGCCCCGCCCTGCCCCGCGCTGGCAAAGCGGTCCCAGGCCCTTGGCCGCCCCACGTCATGGCCGCGCCTGCCCCGGTCACACGGCAGGTTAGCGGCGGCGCCGCCCTGGTCCCGGCCCCGAGCGGCCCAGACCGCGGGCAGCCCCTGGCAACCGCCACGGCCGAGCTGCCGGTGCTGGACGCCGCAGGCAGCGGGTACCGTTCGGCGCGCTGTTCCGGGAGCGCCGCGCCGTGGTGGTGTTCGTGCGGCATTTCCTGTGTTACATCTGCAAGGAATACGTAGAGGATCTGGCCAAAATCCCCGAGAGTTTCTTACAAGAAGCAAATGTCACCCTTACAGTGATTGGACAGTCATCCTACCATCATATTGAGCCTTTTTGCAAACCGACTGGATATTCTCATGAAATCTATGTCGATCCTGAGAGAGAAATTTATAAAAGATTGGGAATGAAAAGAGGTGAAGAAATTGCCGCCTCACGACAGAGCCCCCACGTAAAATCAAATCTGCTCTCAGGAAGCCTTCAGAGCCTGTGGCGGGCAGTGACTGGCCCTCAGTTTGATTTTCAAGGAGACCCAGCTCAGCAAGGTGGAATCCTCATTTTAGGTCCAGTTAACATCCATTTTATACACTGTGATAGGAATAGGTTGGATCACAAACCTATCAACTCTGTTTTACAGCTTGTAGGAGTTCAGCATGTGAACTTTACAAACAACTTCAGTTATCCATGTGTGACTTAAAATGCAATCAGTCACTTTTAGCTGGACCTTCTGGAATGTGACCTTCAGTGCCAGGGTGTAATATCCTCGTGCAGTGTCTAACCTGCTGTCCCTTCCCAGCCTTTGAGGAGTTAGGGAAGCATAAAGGGGGCTTGAACCAGTTGAATTGCATGCTGGGAGGCATCAGTTGTCAAAAATGTGATATATTATACTTCTATTTTATAGCTTTTAACATTTTATACAAAATAACAAAAATGAATATACAGAATATACCTTTAAAAGCTATAAAATCATAAATGCTATTTAAATTATTTTACATTATGGTATATTCAGTCAATGAAAGATTTTTTTGGCAATATAAATTCTGATGAAGAATATATAAAGGGACAGGAGAGCAACAGAAAACCATTGTATTCAGTGAAAAAGGCAAAATATCAAATTCTGTCAACAATGTAACTCCATTTTTACATGTGTATATTTGTATTTTTGTATGCTTAGGAAAAAGACAATAAACACCAAAATGTTGCCAGTTAAAAAAAAAAAAAAGAAAAAATGAAAAGAATAAGAATAGTCATCATACAAATTAGATATAGAGATGATCATGGACATTATCAATCACTAGTATAAACGTTACTAATCATTAGCTTTTAATATTACTTTTTGTTGCATTACTTATATAACCAAGGAATAACCGGCGGGTTTAGGGTCAGGTGCTGAAGGGACATTGTGAGAAGTGACCTAGAAGGCAAGAGGTGAGCCTTCTGTCACGCTCACATAAGGGCCGCTTGAGGGCTCCTTGGTCAAGCAGTAACGCCAGTGTCTGGGAAGGTACCCGTTACTTAGCAGACTATGAAAGGGAGTCGTCAGCTTTCCATGGAGGAGTTAGGGAACAGTCTGCTCCACCAGCTTCTTGTGGAAGGTTGGATATTATCCAGGCCTGCCCGCAGTCATCAGAGGCCTAAACCCCCTCCTGTGGTGCTCTGCTTCAACGGTCACGCTCCTTGTCCCCTTTCATGTTCCTCCCCTACTCCTGGTTCCTCTTTGAAGTTCTTAGAAGATAGCGGTAGAAAAAATAGTGAAAGTCTTAGTCTTTGATCTTTCTTGTAAGTGCAGAGAAGAAAACGCTGACACATGCTGTCTTCTCTCTCTCTGCTTCAGCTACCTAAAAGGGAAGGGCCCCCTTCCTGTGATCACGTGACTTGCTTCACCTTGTCAATCACTGAGACGATTCACCCTCCTTACCCTGCCCCCTTATCTTGTATGCAATAAGTATCAGCATGCCCAGCCCAGCCGTTCGGGACCACTACTGGTCTCAGCATCTTGATGGTAGTGGTCTCCCGGCCCAGCTGTTTCCTCTTTCTCTTGTGTCTTTGTTGATCACAATCTCTCATCTCCGCACATGGGGAGAACACCCGCTAAGCCTGGCAGGGCTGGACCCCATACTGGCCAACATGGTGAAACCCCATCTCTACTAAAAATAGAAATATTAGCTGTGCATGGTGGGTGCCTGTAATCTCAGCTTCCTGGGAGGCTGAGACAGGAGAATCGCTTGAACCTAGTAAGTGGACGTTGCATGCAGTGAGCCGAGATCGCACCACTGCACTCTGGCCTGGGCAACAGAGTGAGACTATGTCTGAAAAAAAAAAGTTCCTCAACAGATAAGTAGAGAAACAGTATGTAGTCTATTCATACAACATAATATTACTCCCTTTGATTTTTCAGTGGGACTTTTAATTTTCACTATTGCATTTCCCTTTGCCTCCAGAATGTTGGATACTGAAGCAACAGTGTGTCCTGGCTTTTGTTGCCCCAGGTGTGGCTGGCAGAGTTGATTTGATGTAGGATGACCTGCCATCTGAGCTGGATTTTGCTACCATGTAAACCAAAGAAGTATCTGAGCTGGGTCTCAATTGATTTAGAGGTTTATTTTGCCAAGTTTGAGGATGCACCCAAGAAAAAAGAGACAGAAGCCACAGTAAGATGTGTATCCTGCACTTTTGCCAAAAGAGGTTTTAAGGGCTTCAGTATTAAAAGGAAAAAAAGCAGGCAGGAGAAGAAGGAAGAAAGAGAAAAAAGAGGGAGGGGAGGCATTGAGATGAGTGGTCATATTCTTGAGGCTTTGGTTAGCGCTCACTGAATCCGCATGTTGCATTTTGAGGTAATACAGGAGTAGTCAATCATGCATTCATCTCATGCTCAGTAAATCTGCATTTTACATAAGATAAAAATAAACACAGAGTAAAGGAAGAAGTCAAATATGCATTTGTCTGGGAGTGAGTGGAGGGATGATTTCTAGTCCTGTCTTTGTTCCACATCTGTGAAGATAAGCTCTTAATTTACATTGTTGGGGTGAAATTCAAAAGAAATCTGCTTTTGGGTCAAATTCTTGGGGCCCACAAAGAATTTTTTATGGAGCAAATTGTGTAGAAGGCCTCCTGGAGAGGAATACAGCCTTCTACCTTTGAAGATGGGTTTAAAAGCAAAATGTGGCTGGGAGCAGTGGCTCACGCCTATAATCCCAACACTTTGAGAGTCAGAGGCGGGCGGATCACCTGACTTCAGGAGTTCGAGACCAGTCTGGCCAACATGGCACAACCCCGTCTCTATAAAACTACAGAAATAACCTGGGCAGGGTGGCACGTGCCTGTAGTCCTGGTTACTCAGGAGACTGAGGCAGAAGAATCATTTGAACCTGGGAGGCAGAGGTGGCAGTGAGCCAAGATCACACCACTGCACTCCAGCCTGGGTGACAGAGCCAGACTCCGTCTCAAAAAATAAAAAATAAAATAAAAATAAAAAAATAAAAATAATAATGGAAGGCATTTGTTTTGCATGACTCAGTTTTCAAGCTGAACTTTTCCTTGTGGCATGGTGATTTTGGGGCCCTGAGATTTTATTTTTTATTTTCCTTTCAAATATACAAGAACATTTTTTCCATGTGTTTCATACAAGGAACATGCCATGTTTTCTGGAAGCGGGAAGAACAGTTTTCTGGTGACTATTCATGTTTTCCTCCTCCGAAGGGGTGTCTCCTTCAGGAGACAAAAAGAAGTGTCCTTGTCATCAGTTCTTGCATCCTGATGTCCACGAATAGACACAGACAACACTAAATAGCCAACAGAGGGGAGTTTTGTGTGCACAGATAAGTGACTGTAGGTGTGGGTGATGCAGCCAAATCCATTTTTCATATTTGTAGATTTCTGCAAACTTTAGAAAAGAAGCGTATTGCACTTCTACAAACATATCTATTGATATACAAATAAATCTAAAGTATGCTTATTTGTCTTCTCTAAAGGGGAAATCTTCATAAGGAATGTGAGCAGAAGTTGGCTTCTGTTTGCTACAATCACATAGAGAAATCCCAGTGCAGGTCTAAGCATGTTTCCAGGAGCTATCGCACAATTTCAGAATTCTTTTCTTTCTTCTGAAAGTATCGCTGTATCCATTTACTTAAACTTATTTATTTTGCATCAAATGTTCTGCAGAATCCATGCAACATCAAACAAGTGCAGTGTCTTAATGGATACATCAGCAGCACAACTTTAGATTGAAACTCTTCTTAGAAAGCGCTGGAACAAAGGCTCTCACAGGAGACTTTCAGCACAGAAAATGGCATGTCCACATTGCACTGATATCCTTCGAGAGATGGGTCGCATACGTATTTTATGAATGCAGGAAAACAGTCTCACAATAAATTTTAGAGTCATGTTTATTTCATATGCACGTGAACATGGAACCTACGGGAAATTTGCAATTTTCTTTTGATGCCTGACCAGAATAATCAGTAGGTCAAAGAATATCATTTACTTGAACCTGTGGTTTGGGGGCAGAGATCTGTAGAGCAGAATATGAAAACACCTGAGCATCCTATGACAAGACTTAGGACACCACTAAGCCCTGCAGATAATGCAAGAATCTTTAGCTGGAGAGGACTTATTCGTTGATGTAAAAGACTAAAAGCAACAGAAAAAAAAAAAAATCCAAGTATTTGAGGAAAAATGTTCAAAAAATAGAAAATAATTCAGGAGGAAAATGAAGTTATAAACATTCAGAATATGAAAAGATAGTTATGCCTTCTCCTTAGTTTCTTTAGCCCAGTAGTTTTTTGCAAACCCCTAAAATGGACTATTTTGTTAACAGAGTTGTTGAAACTGTCACTGAATTTACTTAAAATACAATTCTTACAATGCTTGTAAAACAATTTCCCAAATTTAGGGACATATCTTTATTTGAATTGTGAAATTATGTTATTTAGAAATTACTCAGTTTTAAGAACTAAACTACTTTATGTGAATATCTCATGCATACAGATCAATATTTTATTCTTCTAAGTGTTAAACTAAATATAACCTAAAGCTGCCTCTGTATATATTTTAAGCTCATCCTGAAGGTGTCTCTGTACGCAGTGAAGTGCAGCCTAACTAGGTCTGTAAACAGACTGGAACTCACTCTTGTGCCAGTCACTGACTTTTGGCCAGTCAAAGGCTGCCACCTTTCAAACCATGTTCAAATAAAGCAAAATGCTGAGTTTTCATCAGTCCAGGTGTTTGTCTACCTCGCTTTTATTTTCTGTGTCACTTTCCTTTTTTGTCCATACCTTTGACCTCCAGCAGGCTCAGTCTCTCTGAATCTGTTCTGGTTTGAGAACTGCCCCATCCATCAATTCTTCTTTGCTCAATTAAACACTTCAAATTTAATTTGTCTAAGGTTTTTCTTTTAACATATGTATAATATTATGTCAAATAAAAATGCCTTTGCTATACTGTATTTGCTCAAAACAAAACTCCAAAAGGTTACTTAAAATCTGCCTATTCATTTGTGCACAATTCCTTTTCCTGGTGATGTATTTCCTCAGGTTGCAGAGGCACACTTCAATTCCAGACAGTGGGACTCCAGATGACCTACTGAATTGGAATTACTGGGTTCAAATAGCTATCCTGTTCATTAACAACCTATGAAACCGGGAAAATGACATAGCCTTGTAGGGCTGTACTACCCCAATTTGTAAAACAGAGAAAAGCGTGGTACCTGTTATCCAGGGCAGGTAAAGAAACTAAGTGAGACAATTTCGTTTACACAGAACAATATCTTGCACATGACATGTGATTTAAAAGCCAGATCAATAAAAGAGATAAAATGTATTTGCTGTTGAAGGATCAGTAAAAGAGACCTTCTGGGGAATGAGATGTGAGATTTGCAAA